TGGAGCTGTAGTTAAATGCTATTGTGCTGCTCTGTGGTCTCTCCTAGACTTCTGTTGCAAAGTACAAGAAAACTGAATGGTGTCAAACCCATAGGTGGATTTCTTTGCTTCTCCTCATCCCCAAACATCTCTTTCAATGAACTAAGTAATGAAATAAAGTCATCCTCATACAAACAGCAAATCTGAACTCTGTTCAGTAATCACCGATCAGTAAGGGTAGTTTGGTGCATGCGTGTTAATCAGCTCTGTGTGTGTATTCGCCGTGTCAGTTTAGCTAGTTTCTTCTCTGCAAATATTCTATTTCTATAGCAGGGTTTACTTTGGCACAGTGCTTGAATGCAACAGTGGTGTTTACTACTCACATCTTAGAAGTCTTCCTGGATTTCTCAGTGCTATATCCAGGGTCTGGCTTTATCTACAATATGGCAGCATAGCTTCTCCTGGCGTCTTAGCAGCACTCATAGGAAACAAAACCACATCCAGAAAAGATCTGTCCTTGAGAGAGAGAAGAGAAAGTGTGTGTGGTCTGTGGTGTGTGTGTGTGTGTGTATGGGCTGGGGTGAGGGTTTCTCCCTGTACCAGGATTGCTACTTCAGCTGCAGAGCAGGTTGGCGGTAGAACCATGCATAAGCAAGACGACCGGGAAGTTCTAAGGAGTGATCTAGAAAGTGACCTAGGCTGTTCTCTGTCCAAGAAAGAGAACCTTGTAGAAAGTTCTCTCTAGTGAAGACAGCTATAGAAAATGAAACAAAGGGGATATGGCACTGACTGAAATTCTCCTGTCTCAGTTCTTTCCCAAGAGAAAGGACAGAGAAACAGAGGTGAGGCAAAAAATAAAAATGATCTGTATTCTCTGTCTCTAATTTCCCCTTTCTAGTAACTCGCAAGGACTTCTTAAAACATGCCTGAAAAACCTTAAGGATTAGAGCCAGATTTTAGCATTACAGAGAAGTAGTAGGGAAGCTCTAGTTTACTTTTTTATGTATTGTTTTTACCTTCAAATCTGTACATGGATTTATTTTTCTTTTTAGCTTACTATAGGGTGCATGTGCTCATCAGAAAGAGACAGCAAGAGGGAAGATGAGAAATCACCCAGGGAGATGGCCATGATGCAGTCCCCTTTCCTCCATTCCTCTCTCAGGATTTTGAATGGACACACACACACACACACACCCACCCACACACACACACATGCCTGGCGTGATTTTCAAGCTGCCAGTTTCAGGACTTGGGCCTTGCTGTTAGCCACATGGGATCCAACTGCTTTAACCTTCATCCCACCTGCTGGCCCATGCACAGAAATGTTTTTAAAAAGAATTCTTTTCGGGGCCAGCAGGTGGCATGATGGTTAATGTACTGGACACTCCCACATGGTCAACCATGGTTTGAGTCCCAGACCTGGTGACTTGTTTTCTCACTTTCCTCTGTTTCATTTTATGTCTCTTACTCTCTCTGGTCAAATTAAAATAAAATGAATGAATGAAAATAAATTTTTTTAAACTTTAAGAAAATAGTTATTTTCTTTTATTTATATGTATTGTTTTTTAATTTGAACAGAGAGAGAAGTAGGGGTGGGTGAAGTGAGAAAGAAAGCTGCCAAGTCTGGTACTTGAAGCTCTGCCATGTGGAAGTCCAGCACCTTAATCACCATGCCACCTGCTGGCCCCCATACATGGAAATTTTAAAAGATTGTTTAAGAATCTGCCACATCCCAAGAAGATTGCTAAATTAAATGATAAAGCCTGCGTTTTGTGGTTATTGTTTTAGATTTGTTACCATAGGGAATATGCACTTGCTAGAGAGAGATAGAGAGAAGGAAAGTAAGAAATCACTCCCTAAGAGGGCAATCACGCCACCATCGCTTTTCCATTCTCCTCTTGGGATTTTGGGCACACACGTCCACGTGTGCAGGGTGTTTTTCAAGCCTCTGATCTGAGACTCAAACCGCATAGTCAGCCATGTGGGATCCAGTGCCTTAACCACCACAGCACCTGCTGGCCCAGTGCCTGGTTTTTAAGAGAGTAAAAACTCCTTTTGGGGGTTCATCATACATGCAAAAGATTCATTATACAGGTGTCTGCTTCCATTTCATTTTATGGAAAAGGTTGCATTGGGGAAATACAGTGTATATGTATGTGGCAATATGCAAATAAAGATAGCATTTTGGCAGTTCTTCTGGGACCAGATTCAGATTCCCTTTGTGAGGATTCTGTGGACTCTGAGTGATAATCTGCAAATAGCAGTGATTTTAAAAGCCAAGAAGTCAGAGCCAACTATAAAGCATGGATGTATTATGGTACCCAAAGCTCAGCTTCTAGACCAGCGTTCAAGGCCAAGAAGGTAGGGGTGTGCGTGTGTGTGTGTGGTGAAGGTAGTGCTGGATTACAGGTACAGTGGCTTATCCCAGGGCCAGAGTTCTGTTGCAGAGCCATCTTGCCCTCTGGATTGTGGATACATGTACAATGCACTCTCTGAATGTCTGCTTCAGGACACATTTAACCTGAAGTGAAAAAGGTTTTCATAAAGGGTCAAGATCCCAATCCTTGACTCTCGTTTTTCAGGTGTGTGCTGATTGGTATCATACTTGACCTTCAGAGAAATCAGATATGTGTACACAAGATACTGCTCAGTTAGGATCTGGGAACTACAGATCAGAGTCGTACTCTCTCAGTCTGATAAATGCTCGGATCTGAGGAGTTACGGGATCATCGCCTACTGTGTTACAGCTTTCATGTCATTTCTAGTTGTGTGGCATTTCCTGTGAACCTGATAGCTATGTGCCTGTCAGAAGTTCCAGTTTTTAAGGTAGATTGCTGGCATTTTGTCTATTTCTGTCTGTGTTTGCATAATCAGTTCCATCTTCTACTGCCACAGGTTGTGGTGGGTTGCAGGTTGACTTCTGGATGGTAATAGTACCTTCAGTTTCTTTCTTTTTTATTTTTGTTTTTGTCATATGCACTTGCCAGAGAGAGAGAGGGAAAGTGAGAAATCACCCCTGAGGGTGGCGGAGAATGGCCATGCCACAATCCATTCTCCTCAGGATTTTGGGCATACATGCACACATGCTTGGCGTGATCTTCAAGCTGTAGGTCCAGGACTTGAACCACGGTTGACCACATGGGAGTCCAACACTTTAACTACCATGCTACCTGCTAGCCCCAGTATATCCAATTTCTTACAGACAAACTTGATGTCCGGAATCATACTACTGGGCCAGACAGTGGCGTTGTGGTTAAGGCAGATTGGTGACACTGTTTGAGTCCTGAACCAGGCAACTTTAAAAACTTGCCAGGCATGTGTGCATGTGCATGCCCAAACTCCTGAGAGGATGGAACAAAGGGGCTAAGGGGTAGCCATGTGGCCATCCCCCCCCAGAGGTGCTTTCTCATTTCCTCTTTCTCTCTGGCAAGCACACACACCCTATAGCAAACTAAAAAATAATAATAATTTTTTAAAGAATTATTTTATTGAACTTTATTTTATTTATGTATTTATTTTAACTTGACCAGAGAGGGACAGAGTGAGAGAGAGAGGGAGAAAGTGAGAAAGCAAGCTACCAGGTCTGGGACTCAAACCACGGTTGGCCATGTGGGAGTTCAGGGCCCTTAACTATCATACCACCTGCTGGCTCAAATAATTTCTAAAAAGAACTATACTACCAGGCTGACCCCATAACCTAATGGCTAAGGAAGCTGGATCCCACATAGTTAACCACAGTTTGAATCCCAGACTATTGACTTGAAAAACAAGACAGGCTTGTGTGCATTTGAGCCCCAAATCCCAGGAAGACGGAGAAATTAAGAAGAGGTTATGATTTGACCACACCCCATTGGTAGATGCTTGCTTCCTTTGTCTCACAAGCCCAGGTGTCCTCTGGCAATTAATTAAAAAAAAAAAAAAAAAGAAAAGGAATCATAGCCATGGTGGTGCAATGCTTTGTGGTGCTGAAGCCATAGGGGAGGGTCCTGGGTTTGCATCCCAGTCTCCCTGTACACATGAGTGTCTGTGTGCATGCCCATGAAGCTGGCAAATGAGGCTGGCATGCATCACGCATAAGGACCCTGCTGAAGTGCCTGTATCTCTCTTTCTCTGTGTGTCTCTCTCTCTGTCTCTCTCACTTAAAGTACAAATGAATAAATTTTTTTTTAAAGTCATTCCCAGCATGTCATTCTTACTAACAAAATACTATCATGGTTTCTGAGGGTTTGAAACCCTGTCAGGTTGCTCTTAGCCCTTTCATAGCTTTTAAATAGAATTCCTTCCAGCTGAAGATGTATTAAAGCCCCTAGATATTTCTCCCTTTTCTATCCCCACTCATATTCACGGATTCTATAACTGACTCATACACTGTCCAGTGCTACATTGGCAGGCAGCAGGGTGGTGGCAGCAGTACAACGTGCCACGGAAACTAGGCCTTTTCTTCTCATCAGTCTCTGCATGCTGTTACTATCGAAACCTGGCCCTGGTTCCCTACCACTAGTGATTTTTTGTAATTGCCAAAAGGTACGTGTACTTGTCAGAGAGACCGAGAGAGGGGGAGAGAGACGGAAAGCAGCCCTCAGTGGGCTCACCGCAATCCCTTCTCCATCTCTCCCTCCTTTGGGATTTTGGGTATGCACACTCACATACCTAGAGTGCTTTTCAAGCTGCGAGGCTGGGATTCAAACCACAGTTGGCCATGTGGGATCTGTTTCCCTTAACCAGTAGGCCATGGGGCCCTCACTAGAGATTTTTAATTGAAACAGAAAATAGACTTCTTTAGCCAAGCACAGTTTATGAAAAAGATCATTAATAAAAAAATAGAGCTTCTCTTGGCGTGGGGTGCCCACATCTAAACCACTATGTTTGTGGTGGTGTCATGAAGAACTTGAACCAAGTCTGATATTTAAAGCCCTCACCACAGTGTCAGAAAGGAAGTGTAGGACTAGATTAAATACAGAAAAGGTACTTCCTCTAAATGTTCTCCCTGCAACTCAGCTACGACTTTCTTTCCCCCACAGATGGAATCCCCTGTCTCCACGCCAGCGGTGCTGCCACTGCACCTTTTGGTGCCAGTGGTCAACAATGACATCTCATCTCCCTGTGAGCAGATCATGGTTCGTACCCGCTCAGTCGGGGTCAACACATGTGATGTGGCTCTAGCCACAGAGCCTGAGTGCTTGGGTCCCTGTGAACCTGGAACCAGCGTCAACCTTGAAGGCATTGTGTGGCAGGAAACAGAAGATGGTAAGTACTGTATGTGGCTTTCCCATTTCTTCTCAAGTTGCATCTGCAGGGAAGCGGGTAGGGACTTACTGTTGTAAATACTGCCAGGCATGTGTTAACAGTCCAGGTGTCCACAGCCTCCTGGTGATACTCACACAGGACTGCACCAACCTTCTTTGTTTTTTATTTTTAGGTTTTTGCTTTAGGGCATGTGTTCTCTGGATGGGGGAGGGTGTGTGTGTGAAAAAAAATCAACCCCCAGAGGGGATAGCCATGCCGCAATCCCTTCTCCTCCATTCTCCTCTTAAGATTTTGAGCACACATGTACACACATGTACCTGGTGTGCATGAGTTTCAAGCCAATGGTTCTAGGAGCAGTCAGCCATGTGGAAGTCCAGCACCTTAACCACTACGTCACCTACTGGCCCCATGCAGCAGTCTTCTTAGCTTCTAGAGATTGCCGATACCAGTTTTTGAGATTAATGATCTCTTCTTCATAGCTATTCAGCAGGGTTGACCCTGGTACTTAAGCAGTCATTTGACAGGTGCTGGCTAGGTAATTATACTATGCTGAGCTCCCCATACTGCTTCTATCATTTCATATGGGAGGTTTAGATTATGAATGAAACCTGGGGTTAAGCATGTAAAGAAAAAGTAAGAAAAGGGCCTGTGAGGAAGTCAAGAGAATGGAGTCACTCCTAAATTGGCTGAATGTGGGCTCATTGAATATGCAGCTCTTGCCTTTTTTAACACCTGGAGGTACAGCCAGCTCCTTCTTCCCACTGGCTGCTTCAGTGCCCAGCCACCTACTGCATTTCATGCATCTGTCACTTCATTCAGATTTTAAGGCCTAGGCAACAAGGAAGTGTTTACATGGTCTTGTTTTTAGGCATCCACTGAGCAGTTGGTTCATTCTAGGTTCCTGCTGCCCAAGGCTGCCGTCCAGATCTCTTGTGTGTTCCATTTGCCCCTGAGAATAGAATCTCACCTGTTTGGGAGGTTCATAAACTTGGAAATGGGGGAAAAATGTAAAGGGATTTACCCAGGTATTTCAGATCCCTTGGTAACCTCAGGTAGCAATTTGATTTCAGCACATTCTTTCTGTAAAGAATTCAGGTCTTTTTTTGTTTGTTTGTTTTTTGAGAGGTTTTCGCTATAGGGCGCATGCGCTCGCCAGACAGAGAGAGACATAGAGACAGAAAGTGAGAAATCACCCCCCAGGGCGGGTGGTCACACCGCAGTCCCTTCTCTTCCATTCTCCTCTCGGGATCTTGGGCATGCACGCACACGTGCCCAGCGTGAGGTTTAAGCCACCGGGTCCGGGACGCGAACCACGGTCGACTATGTGGGAGTCCAGCAACATAGCCATTACGCTAACTGCTGGTTCCCAAGAATTCAGGTCTTTGTCAAAGTATGTGTGGTTAAAGAGGCCAGGCCTCAGAGTCCCATCAGATTCTGAACAAGTCCTCAACTCCGAGGAGTTGAGAGACCCAGAGGAGCACAGCTAATTATCTCTGATTATCACAGAGCTGTCTTGTCAGTCTGCCCATAGAAATTCAGGTGTTTCGTTCCAGTCATTCTAGTAAAAGTTTGTTCCCTAGTATGTTATCATTCAGGAGTTACTTAAAGCCCACCACACAACAGGTGCTGATGTGTTATAGGTTAAAACTTGCTCCAAGCCAGTGGGTCGTGTGGCAGTAAAGGTAGCTGGATTCCGACTATGCAGTTTGAGTCCCTGCAGCTTGAAAAACACATTGGGTACGTGTGCATGCATGCCAAAATCTGAGGAGAAGAGTGGAGGACAAGGGACTGTGGCATGGCCATCCTCCCTGTGGGCTTTAGTTCTCGCTTTCCCTCTCTCTTTCTCTCTAATAAGCACACATACCCAATAGCAATAAAAAACATAAACAAAACACTCTGTATTCTTAGCTTTCTCCTCATTAGGGATATAGTAAATATTCAGCTTTTTTACTAAAATTCCTGATGAGGTGTTATTGTATGCCTGAGACTCTAATGCAAAGAAACGCTCCCCCCAAAAACAAAAACAAACAAACAAAAAACACCCACATCTATTATGGTAGAAACGGATGCAGAGAAGGTAGAAAGAAAGGTTGAGTCTAGAGAACAACTCTAGATACGTGCATGCACTCGACAACCTGGGAATCACAAAGTGGCTATCTGATTTTTTAAGTGTCATATGCAGAGTTGGCCCAGTAGCCTAGTGGTTAAGAGATCCAGATGCTGCACGAACGACTACTGTTCAAATCCTGGCTCTGGTGGATTGCAAAGTCATGTCAGTTGTGCCCTAAATCCTGAAGACATGCAGGGATGGAGGAAAAGGGATTGTAGTGTGACTGTACCCTCAGAGATATGCTTTCTTCCTCTCTCTCTCTCTCTCTCTAGTGAGCACACATACCCTTCTGCGATTTTAATTAAATTAATTAAAATAAAATGTAATCTGCCTATGGGCAAACGTCTGAACAGCCACGCAGTCTGTTGGAATGACAAACATATCTGGACCACATCTCTGTGCAACTCCAATATGTTGAAGATATAAGATATCAACTTTCTTCTCTGTTTTACCCATCTTTACAATGGCGACTTTTCTCCAAGGGCACAACGTTTTTCGCATATGTGAACCTGACAAAGACTTTCAGAGAGTGAAGCTAACATCACTCTTCTTAAGGACAATGAATACTTCTTTGTCTGAGAATCCTTTTTTTTCCCTCCCTGCCAAGGGAATGCTGTCACAGATTGACTGATTGATCGGTTGATTATTTGTGTAAATTATTTGCTTTGAAAGGCTCTCTGGTTGGCAAGTCATCAGCAGCATTCTGTTACCAAGTTCTCTTGTTATGCACTCTTCACAGTTTATAGCTTTGTTTCTAATTGTATGATTTTTTGTTAACATCCGACAATTCCATGGTTTTATTGGGTTGTCGGAAAAGTCATGACATTTTTTCTGTCTTTCCATGCAAAAATGTGTCAGGACTTTTCCGACAACCCAATAAAAGTGAGCTCAGCATTTCTGTTTTTGCTTGCAGTTGTATCTCCAGCACTTTACATCTAGCACCTACAACAGACTCATAAAAATACTTGTTTGGATTAGTAAATGCTTGCACCCATGGCCTTGTCATTTCTGGGTATGTTAATGTCTAACAGACCCTACAGTAGTACTTGAATTTAGGAATCGTGTCAAAAATACCTTCCGAAAGTCTACACCTTCTCTGAAACTCGGAATTCATACTGCTTTCACCAGGCTTCAGATTACTGTCATTTGTCTTAAGTCTGTAAGATTTTTCAGTTCTGCTGTTAATATCAGATTTTCTCCCTTACCGTATTGTGTTCAAGACTCAGTATCTTTCGTCTTTATTTTTTTTCTTTCATTCGAAGAAAAAGAAAACTGTTCTGCAGTGATATACTCTAGTTTCCTAGTGCCTTCACCTGCACTGTCAGTTGTCAAAGGTCTGGATTGGGATCAGAGTTGGCTCACATTTCTTTTAATCTTCAAGAAACAGATTTCCTGCAAAGATCATTCTCTAAAGATCTCTAAGATCCAGTGTGCTGAGTTAGTCTTCAAGTTAATCATAAGAACTACATACAGATACTTTTTAAAAAGTCTTCGAGGCTTCTAGGCTCTTTGTCTGCCACTGATTTTTTGTACTTCTGTCTCTCTCTTTGCCCAGCAATCCACTGTCTTCAAATAGAAAAACCCTTACCGCTCAGAGAGAAGCTGTGGATGCTTGGCCTCTGACAGGCACGGGGAAGACTGAGGTCCCTGTAGAACTAAGCCACCTTGCTGAGATCAGGTGTAGAGATCGTGGCCTCAATTATTCCTGGCTTCTTTGCCTCCCTTGCTAAATTCTTTTCTCCTCTCTCCCTATCTCTAACTTTAAATTTTGCCTTGGAGGCATTTTGAAATTCCTGTAGATTCCATCCCTTTTTAGGTGTTTGAAATTCAGCCAACACTGCAAAGATTCTCCTTGACTAGGTTCAACCTCAAGACTTTTAAGAAGACCCACGTGTAACCTGGAATGTTTTCCTCATTCTTTTTTGGGGGGTGGTTTTTGTTTGTTTGTTTGTTTGTTTTTGAGATTCTTAGCACTTACACAGGATCTAATTCCACCTGATTTCACTTTGTCCCCCTCACTTTGAATCAAAATAGCAGGTATTAAGTCTACTCCTGTTTTACAAAGCTTAACCCTAACCCAGGGTCCAGTGTTTAAGAAGCCTTAAGGCTAATGATATACTTCTGCTGAGACAAAATTGCTACTGGCTTCTGTGGTGATTAAAGAAAGGTGAAACTGACTATAAATAAGAATTTCAGAAGGATATGTAAGTTCTCCCTTTTTGGACAGCAACACTGAGCTGCAGGTCAGCTACCAGTGATACAGTTTACTTGTAATTTGTTCTCTCATCATGCTCTTAAACAATTAAAATAAAAAACACCGACTTCAGATTCCTCAGCTGCTTCTCTTCCTAAACATGTATTATTTTAACTCTATCATTTACTTTTTCTCTCTCTACTCTGAAAATTCTTTGAAACCTCATACCATGTTTTTTCTATCTTATACCCCACCCCACCCACTGAGGGCACATATACTTAACCAGCAAAATGGCTCCCCATCATTTCTTTTGGGGATTTGGGCATGCACACACATGTACCTGGCACGTGTTTTAAGATGCTGGGGCTGAGGGGGCCAGCAGGTGGCATGATGGTTAAGGGTGTTGGGCTCCCACATGGCCAACTGCGGTTCGAGTCCTGGACCTGGCGACTTGTTTTCTCACTTACACCCCCCAATACACACTCTGTCCTTCTCTGGTCAAATTAAAAAATAAATAAATAAATTGAATTGAATTAAGTAATTCTTAAAAAAAAAAAAAAAAGAATATGCTGTGGCTGGGACCACTGGTAAAGTAGTTATGTTGCTGGCCTCCCACATGGTCAACCATGGTTTGAGTCCCAGATCCAGTAGCTTGAAACTCATTCCAGGTGCATGTGCATGCCCAAGATCCCCAGG